AAATAGCTACTGGGCTATTGGGTGCTCATACTTCTGTGGCTACCTTCAGGTAGTGTAGGAAGCCGGTGGAAGAAGGATGGGGTGGTGGTGTCCCCAAGGTTGTCCCTACTTCTGACTGCCACTTTCCAAGCAGCTAGCTGAGCACGGGAGTGGCAATCACAAGGCTCATGTGATAGGATGCTCATTCTACCAAGAGTCATTTTGACCACTAGCAATTGTCATTTCTGGATCATTCTGCACCAAGGGACACCATTGAACTGCTCCAATCCAGAAGTTAAGAAGAGGAAAAGGCTCTGGGGACTTGGAGAAGGCCCTGTTCTGGGGGTAGGTAAGCTAAGATTTTTATCCCATTCTGATGTCACCCCCAGAGAGTTTTGGCCAAGAAAGTTCTCAAGGTTCAGTGCCTGTTCCAGACTCTGAACTCACTCCGTTATCACACCTAAACCACGGGGCTGTGATTCTCAGTGGTACTGATGCTCATTGGTGTCCCGGAGCACGTCTGAGCTCCATTGTGCTGTCATAAAGGACTTGGTCTAGGTCTAGATTCAGCCTCGCATAGTCAGCCCCAAAGGGTGCAACGGGCTTATCTTTGAACTTGGTCCTCAGCCGGAACTTCCTCCCGGATCTGGAGGCCAAGAGGTTCTCAGAGTCCACTCTCCCACTGCCTGCTGTCTAGGTGGGCCCTGGAGGGCTGCAGTGTGTGACCAGAACCCCTAGCTAGAGGCTGGCAGGATGAAGGGCGGGGTTCAGCAACCTCTCCAGACAGCAGCAATCACATCGGCCCCAAGCGCACAGTACAGGAAGAGACACGAAGATTAAGTGTTAGACCACACACAAACGCATTCGGCCAACGAAATGAGAATGAGTGAGAGTGAAGGAGGGCTCGGGACTGGGCCAGGACGTGGAGAGGAAGAAGCAGAGGCAGGGCAGATGGGAAGGAGAAAGACGAACCTACAAAAGTCGCCAGGGGTCAGGGAGGAGTGGAAACCAAACCATAGACTGGGGACAGCTAGGTGTGGCTCATTGGGAGAAAGTGTGGATGAAACATTAGTTAAAGAGAGGAAAGAGAAAAAACAACAAGTCAACCCAGAGCAAAGTTGAGGGAGGGAAGGAGAGAGGGAGGGAGAGGGAGAGGGAGAGAGAGAGAGGGAGAGGGAGAGGGAGAGGGAGAGATTCAAACTAAGCATGGCTGGACCTATCTGAGAGCAAGAGCAAGTGCCTAGCTGGGCTGGGATACCTACCTTCTCAGTGCTCAGGGACAGAGGCGTAACAATTGAAAAAAAAAAAAAAAAAGGAAGATCTCTGCCCAGGGAATGCAGGATGTAGGACAATGGTGATTCCAAATGGACCCCTGCTCTGAGCCAGCAGAGGGGGAAACAGTCTGCCCCGTGGCCTCAGGGATGGAAGGGGCCACTTGTCAGGATTCTTTGTTAGATTCATTATTTACTTATTTGTTTATTTATTTTAAAATCTTTAACTCCAGGCTCCACTAGCCAAGCTTTCCCTAAAACTCTACATAACAAAGTCCCCAGAGGGCATGCATGTAGCAGCTACCGAATGCAGAAACCACAGGGTGGATAGAGAAGGGGCAGGTTGCTTGGGAGAGAGACCCAACTCAGGAGGAGAGAGATGGAAGGAGATAGACAGAGAGATGGGGGGATAGAAAGGCCGGACAAAGAGAGAAAGGCTGGTTAAATGAGGCCAGCGAGGGAGGATGAGGAGGGTGGGAGCTGAGCTGCATATTTAAAAGGAAAAACAACCATACGTTTAATTTCGAAGCTGGATCTTGCCTCTCAGATAAGCCCCATGGCTTCGCCATTTAAGTGCTTTTTTGAGACAGACACTCAGGTTACATAGAATAGCCTCGAACTCACTATGCAGTTGAGGCTATCTTTGAATACCTGATCTCCTGCATCTACCTCTCAAGTGCAGGGATTACAAGTGTGCTCCACTATCCCCAGATTTCATGTGATGCCAGTGATCCGGTCCAAGGCAAACACTTCCAGCTAAGTCCCCATCCATTGCTTTCATCCTTTTTTTGTCCCTGTGGTGAATGAACTACGTGGGTAGGGCAGCCTCTCTCTCTCTCCTTTTGATACTTTCTAACTTTCTTTCTCAGACTAAGTTACCAATCAGGACCTTGGCTGGCTTTGACCTTGTTATGCTCTTTCATCAGCCTTCTGAGTGCTAGGATTCAATGTGGACACCACCAGGTATGGCTCTGCTCTTCAGATGGAGAATTGTCTGGGGCAATGGCTTGTCCCCAGAGAAGACAGTTCTCTCCAGCCTAGATTGTCTAGCTTGGACAGCTTTACCGGAGTTAAATTTGCAGCTGCCTTCAGACTCCTTCCTCCAGTCTTTCTAAGGAGCTGGGGCCTGATACTGGCTCCCCCTGCCTGTCCACAGCACCCAATTAGTAACACGGGGCAAGCCCCTTCTCCCTTTGTGGCCCCTCGCTTCTTGCAAGGTCCTTTACAGACTCAAAAACACCAGTGTTGTTCATTTAAAACCTGAGCTAATTCCAGGATGCTCCCCGGAGTTAACAAGAGGGCTTTCTTATGTAGCAGGTGTTGTTGGTATGGCTGCCATTTGTATTTGGAGTTGTGTTCCCTTTTAAATTCTGATCACAAGAGAAGAAAGTATATAAAGATATAGGCATGACTAATGTAGACTTGAAATTCAAACATTATTTCTGCATTAGAAGAAAGGCTTCTACAGTAACACACATAGAAGCAAAGTTCTAGAACACAGAAGAGAGAGAAAAGGAAAAACAAAAACAAAACAAACCCAGAAAGATAGTTTGCATTTTGGTACATTACAATTTTTTTAAATAAAGAAAAAGGAAATACAAGCAAACAAACAAACAAAAATCACACCAAAATAACAGGAAAAATGATGTAAATTCCCCCACCCTCAGCTAAACAAGATATGGAATTATAGTATTACCACGTTTCAAATGGGAGGCTAAAAAACAAACAAAGACATAGGTGGGGTTAAAAAAATGTTGAGCTTCTCTTTTTTTCTGTGTCTTTCTCTCTCTTTTCTGGAGAGAGAATGTCGTAAACTCCTACCCCCACCCCCAGTACTTATGCTGAAAGACTTTTTCAAAATGGTGAAGGCTATTGACACCCAGCCCTCCCTTGGTCTCACCTTCCTGGGTACAGGAGGACCAGCCTGCCTAGCAACCCCCTCTACCAAAGTCTTTTTTTTTTTTTAAGGGAAAGAGGATTGGGGTATAGGTTGCAGACCTGGGATGTTCAAAGTCTCAGACTGTGCAGGATGCAAGGGTGAGGGGTAAGATTCTGAGCTTTTCTTTGTGATAATGTAAATAATGCACTTGGAAAACTCCTATGGCCACGTGAAAATGGAGTCCCATTTTGGGCAGGAGATATAAAACGTTGCCTAGACCAACTGCTGACTCCTGCACAGTCATCGAGTTACTGTTGCCATTTTGTCTGCTGCTGGACATGTCTAGTTACTGCATTCATTTTGTTTGCAGGTACAGGACCCTGCAAGGGGCAGCCCTTAAGGAAGTTGTTCAGATTTCCAAGACCCCACAGAAGGGACCAGAAATAGGATGGGACTTACCCTTGCTTTGGAAAACAATCCCTGTGTTTTGGGGTCATAAGGGAGGCCACAGATGAGAGGCTGTGCCCCTTGATCTCTGTGCTCAGGAAGTTTGGGGATCACTATATTTCTTTTTAGGTCAGCTTATCAGTTCCAGCCCCTGCTGGTTGCTTTAAGATACCCCATTGTGCCCTCTCACACTCAGAAGACAGATCCAGCGGGCATCAGTGCCCTTCTCAACTGGGGGCCTAACAAAAGCCCCAGGAGCTGGGCAAAGAACCAGGCAGTCTTTCTAGGACAGTTTAGAGGCAGGCTCTTCCACAGAAATTCTGAGAACAAAAGCTTTGTGCCCTACCTCCCTTCACCTTCCTTCCTCTCTGACACCACAGGAGGAAGAGCATTTCAGAAAAGGAAGGGAGTGAAAGAAAATAAACAAACAAAAAAATCAAAACGAAACTGACAAGTACAGGTTGCTGTTGGCTGCTGAGACCGGTGGTCTGGGGAGGGACAGCTCGCCACTTGGATGAGGCATCTTGGGCCATGCATTATGGGTGTGGAAAGGGTCCCGCTATTCTACCCCAAGTTCCCGAGCACACCCAGGGGCCCTGTCAGCACCGCAGAGCCCCCTCTTTGAGAGGCCTCAGCCTCATACTCTGACGGATGGGGTGGACCACGTGGGGAATAAAAAGTCAGGGTTTAGTTCCGGCTCCTAGGAACACCTCAGCTGCCTGAAGATCTAGAGGTGCTTGTGTCCCTCCCTAGGACTGGTGGGACAGTTTGTGATGGGGACCATAGTGGTAGGAGTGTTTTAGGTGTCTCGGTAGTGACAAGCCTGGGAAATGAGGTTGGCAGGTTTGAGACACTGGTCCAAATTGGGCAGTGCTGGGGCCGTGTACAAAAGAAGCTCATTGTGGGCCCAAGAGAAGTGGGAAGAGCTAATGGGAGGGGTTGGGGAGGGAAGGACTCAGAGAAGGGGTAGGGGCTTGGATGTCACGTGACACCCACTGGCGTTTGAGACCCTTCTCTCCAGGTGCTGACTGACTGTTTCCTGTCCACGCCTGTTCCCGGAAGGCAAGCAACATGGGCTCATCACCAGCAGCGTATCCCAACTATCCCTATGGTCAGGCCTTCTCTGACCTCTTTGCCAAGCACCAAAGTGGCCCAGGGCTGCAGGTCCCCACCCCTAACCCCTCACCAGACCACCAGGCCCAGGTGGGAACAACATCCAACCGACATCCAAATGAGCATTCCAGGTGACTCCCGGCACCCGGTGCCCCTTGCGGAGCACAGGTCGGAGAGCTGGGAACCGAGAGAGTGTCGGTCACCCGTGACCCACCAACGGCCCCGCCCCGCCGGCTATCAGACCCCAACCCTGCACGGCGCAGCCCGCGAAAGCGGAGTGGCGAACCCTCCGCAAAGCCAAGCGTACGTACATCGGGCGGGCTGTGCGCTGAGCCGGGGCGGCCCCCGAGCGCTCCGCTGCGTTGCCTGCTGCCTCCGTTCTGCTGCGGCGACCCCCATCCGCTACCGCCCGATGCGGACGGCGACCGGCTCCCGCTGGATCGCTGGCTGCCCGTCTTCCGCCCGTCATCTCGATGTTTGGGGCTCAGCCTGGGGGAGCGGAGGGATGGGGGAGCCGGCGTGGGACGCCCCCTCTGCAGGCAGCCTGGCTCCCAGCTCGCGCTTTCACAGAGGGAGCAACCCGAGCGAGCCAGCCCTGCACTGCCTTGACTTCCCATTTAGGCTCTTCCTCCAGATGGGCACCAGCTTGCTTCTGGCTCATGAACCTTGGTCCTGGCTACTGGCCCCGGCACGCCGGCCCTTAGGGACACAACACTCCCCTCCATCCCCGAGTTGAGCTAAATACATTATTCCCCCTGAAGACAGGGTCTCGTGTAGCCCAGGCTGTCCTTCAACTCTACATCTAGTCTAGATTGACCTTGAACTTCTGATCGTCCTACCTCCGTCTCTAAAGTGCGAGGATTGCAGGCATGCACCACAATTGGATTATGCAGTCCTGGGGGGTCAAACCCAGAACTTCGTGCATCCAGGCAAGCAAGCACTCTGCCAGCTGGGCTAATCTCCAGCCCCCACCCGACCCCCACCCAACCTCCACCCTCCAAGCATCACCTCTTGAGTCTACCCCAGGGTTCAGCCTACCTGCTGGGTGATCCGGAGTCGCTGTAGTGTGAGGTCATCGAGGGACTGTGGGAGCTGCTGCGGTGGTGAGACCTTCTGCCCGGCGATTCAGTGTGAGGCCTGGCGTGGGCAAGGGGAGTCAGCCGGAACTGAAATGTTATCTCTTCTGACGGTGGGGCTGCCTGGCCTGACCTCGGGGACTTGGGGTAAGTAACCGAGGAAGGTCACTGTGGGGGCAGCCCCACCCCCAGCACAGTCTCCTAGGAAAGCTGACTGGATGGGATTGGGGCTGGGGCTGGATGTAGGGTCCCCAAGAGTCATCTCTGAGAGCTAGGGGAAAGTGCCTTTTCTGGAGAGCCCCAACTTCCAAATCTCACCTCTCACCTGTCTACTTGGAGTGGAGGGGTGTGGAGGAGGTCAAAGGGCAGAAAGGGGGCCTAGGCTCCTCCAGTGGCCACTGGCTCAAAGGCTCCTTTTCCACTTGTCTGTCTGACACGATTGGGGGGTTCGGTTTGAGATAAGCTCAAGAGGTTGGTTTCGGGGTGCTAACGGACCAGGTTTTCTGGAGCCCGGGGAGGACGGCCTAGCGCTCTTACCTCTTACGCTCTTTGTTTTTTTCTTTTCTTTTGCTCTTGAGGCTTCGCGATCTGCAGGAAGCGGAGACCAGGTCTGAGCGCCGGGGCACGGGAGTGACCAGAGTAACAGGTACACTTTCGTGTTGGCTGCTGAGACCGGTGGTCTGCAGCCCAGCTATGCTCAGATGCGGAACTTCAGTTTGCTCTCCTCTTAGGCCCAAACCTCGCTGGGTGTCCACCTCGCCCGGTAGGGTACAGCCAGGCTTCGTGAGGAGGGGTGTGCGTGTATGTGGTGCAAAGGTTTCACACGTAAGTGGGCCCTCTACCACCGAGCCACGCATGCCCAGTGTGGAACCTTCTGCTTTCCACAGAAGCACAGGATCTCAGGCCACATCTCATCCCCAGGTAGGAACCTCTCTGATGGCATGAAATCCTTTCAAGTCCCAAGCAAATAAAACAAATACCCAAATTTAGGAAAGGGCCGGATGGAGGGCTTCGTTCAGCTTGCTTTGGGCCTCAGTACTAAGTAGCTCACTTACACATCTTGTCCTGTCCTAGACACTGTACATAGGATGGTGGCCACTAGAGGACAGCAGAGGCCCACACTATCCTTTCATCCTGGGAGGGAGGGGGGCAGAATGGGGAAAGTAGGAAGGGTAGGGTGAAAAATTTTCAGGCTTCCATACTACCAGGTACAAATGGCCTTTGGTAAATCCCACCAAGGGGAGGGCCCGGAGACCCTAGTCAGGGCTGCAGGAAGGAAGTCTCGCTGACTCCCAGAGAAAGGGTGCGACTGGCCTATACCTTTTGATCCCTGACACTGGGTTGACTAACTTCTGCCTGGGCTCCTTGAGGCCAGGCAGTCAGAACTGCAGAGGGCTAACAGTCCATCTGCCAGAGACTCCACCTCTAGCCCCGGCCTGGCCACCCCAGTCTTCTACCCACTGAGCCACCCGCTTCACAGAAATGCGTTGTCCTGGCCCTGCCCCTTCCCCTATAATTCGGGGGTCCTTCGAAGAGGGCACATCAGGGCTTGCAGTTCTTTCTGGAAATTCTTGGGGCTTTTACATGGAAGTTGACCTGTCCTCCAGCCCCATTTGCTCAGCGAGGAAAGGACCCCTGGAGTGGAGGGTGGAGCCAGACTGGTCCCCTGGAGTGGAGGGCAGAGCCAGACTGGTCCCCGGAAGAGTCTGGCAACCTGTGTGCCTGCTCAGGAAAGCACAGCTCACCTGTACCGTCGCTTCCTCCGGGACCCAGACTCAGACCTGTGGAGTGGCAGACAAATTCTTCTGAGTCTTCTTGGGCACAGCCACGGGGGGCACAGCCCAGGGAATGAGACAGGCCACAGGGGGCAGGGGTGTGTGGAGAGGAGAGGTCCAGTTACCTATCTCTGCGGTGCTTCTTCACACCCTTCTTCTTCTTGCGCAGGGGGGAGGCACTCCCACAGCTGTGGACACAGGGGTGAGTCACTGGTGAGCTGGGGGCAGAGGGGAGAGGATGGGTGTGGCTGAAGGGGGCTGGGAAGAGGTGGCAGGCTATTGCGCCCAGACTCCCTTGTATAGAATGAGAGCCTACGGACCAGGTGGGCAAAGACTCCTAAAATTGATACGACTGCCTGTCCCTTAGTTACCTTTCCTCCTGTGTGTGTGTGTGTGTGTGTGCAGATGCACACCTGTGTGCACGCAGAGCCCAGAGGTCAACCTTGGACATCTTTATGAGGAACTAACCACATATGTTTATTTAGTGTGTGTGCGTGCACACGACATGGTGCATGCATGGAGCTCAGAGGACAGCCTCTGGAAAGTTCTCTTCTTCCACTAGGTAGTTCCTGGTGACTCCACACAGGTCATCAGGCTTGGCTACAGTTTCTTTCACTGCTGAGCCATCTCACCAGCCCGTGTTTTCTGAGTTGGGATCTTTCACTGACTTCTGGGACATGCCGCCTTGAAGAGGCAGGCCAGTGAGCTCGCTCCTCAATTCCTTTGTGGTGTTGGCTTGTTTTTGAGACAGGCCTTTCTGTGTAGCCCAGGCTAGCCTTGCATTCATGGTCCTTCTACCTTGCCCCCCCCCCAAAGTGGTCTTGTATAGGCGAAGGGAAGAATTTATTATTTATTTTTTTGATGTTTGGAGACAGGGCTTCTCAGTGCATCTTTGGCTGTCCTGGAGCTCACTCTGTAGACCAGGCTGACCTCAAACTCACAGATCTGCCTGCCTCTGCCTGTGCTGGAATTAAAGGCATGTGCCACCACGCCTGGCTCGGGAAGAAATGTTTTTCTGGTCTGGTGGTCTGGTTTTCTTATGGTGCTGGAGACAGAATCCAGAGCTGTGCACTTGGCAAACTCATCAGCTCTGAGATGTCTCCAGTCCTTGGGATTTCTAGGCTGTGTATGCAAACACTGGTACCAGAAAGTCCCGTGTCCAGCCCCTGAGGTGCCAGGCCTCTAGTCTCCGGATGGTGGCCTTGCATTCCTTCCCACCCACAGGTGCGCCCTCTGGGTCCCAGCCCTCCCCGCCCCCGCTCCTGCTCCCTCCATCACTGACCTGCACTCTGACTCTAGTCTCCTCTTTTTGCTGAAGGTAAATGCCAGAAAGAAAGGACAGACAGATGGACCGTGTTAGCTAGTGGCCCCAGCTTGTACCTCAGGACAGAGGAGGGGGAGGACATAGAAACGGGGGAGTTGTAGTTGAGGGCCAGTAATGACCCACTTCCCAGGGACACCCACACTTGGAATGGGGTTTACTTGAACCCAGGGCGGACGGTAATACCCAGTGGGGGTGGGGCTTAGAGTGAGGCGGGGCTTATCGAATGGGCGGGACTGAGAGGGGTTAAGCTGCAGGCTAGGAATCCAAGGGGGTGGGGCTGGTTTAAGTTAACTGGTCCCAAGGGTAGCATCTGTGTCCGGTGTATCCCCAAGGCCCCTCCCAGTCTCGCCCTAGGACCATGCGCCGCTCTCACCGGCTCCTCCGATGACTGCCTTTCTTTTTCTTCTTCTTCTTGGGAGGGGGCGATGCGGAGCTGCTGGACCAGTGCTTGGTCCTGGGCGAGAAGGGGCGGCGGGGGCGGTGAGAGAGGCGGCCCGGTGTTGCCCTCCCCTCCGCCGCGGCGGCCGCTCACCTGTACCCCCGGTGCCCGCGGTAGCAGGCGACCGGGCAGTCGCAATCCACCGGGCCGTCATCCTCATCGAAGGGTGGGTACTCCAGGCCCGGCTCCAAGCCGTCCATTCTCCGCGGGGTCTCTGCCACGCTAAGGAGAGACAGTGACGCTGCCCACCCGCCTCCGAGGAAGGGCCTTCCCGCTGCTGCAGCCTGGGCATGGCCTGGCCTACGTCCTCTGGGTCATATGCGGCTGGGGAGAGGGGGCTGCACTTGCAGACCAGGGGGCTTGCCATCCCCAGCCCCGGAGGGCCGGATGAAGATTTGAGTAGCCCAGATTCCGAGGCAGTGGTTTGCAAAAGACAAAGAGACTCCAAGCCTGGTAGTGCAGGCTTGTTACATCGACTACCAGGAATGCTGAAGCAGAAGGATTTTAAGTTCAAGGCCTGTCTGATCAACCTAGCTAAGAATAAACAAACCAACAAGAAATGAACGCTGCGGATGCAGTTTTCAGTGTCAACTGCACAGCACTGACCGATAGGGAGCCCTGGGCTCCATCCTCAACCACACACACCCAAGACAAACCAAAAACTGTGAGTGAAGTGCGGGAGTTGGCAGAGTGCTCGCCTGGTTTTCAGGAAGCAATGCCGCCTGAACTGGGTGTTAGGGCACACCTGCAATCGCCGCGCTTTGGAGCCGGAGGCAGGGTGGGAGTGCACGGGACTTTCGAGGCCAGCTGGGTTACAGATCTCAAACAACAAAACAATTAGATCTGTCCCGCTCATTGAGCCCCTCCTCACCCCTCACCAAGTCTCCTCCCTGGAACTGTCAGCCCCGTTGTCCTATCCTGGGGTCCTCCCTCCCCCTCGCTGGATTCCCCACCATTCCCCTCCCCCAGGGCTGACATCTGCCTCTCCAGGTCCCTGGACGCCTCCCCCCGGCCCCCATCCCTTCTCTCCTCTTTTCCTTCAGTCCTGGCCTCAGCCCCTGAAATATTCATAGCCTCTCCTCTCACCCCCCCCCCCCCCACAGCCTCCAGAGGCCTCCGCGCTTGGAAGCTCCAGCTGCCGGCTGTCTCCATCAATCACGGCTGGCGCCTGAGGCTGAGGGTGGGGGCCTCAGCTCTCGCCCGCCTCCAGCTCCGTACCCTCTCTCCATCCGGCTCAGCAGCTCAGAGCTCTCCACTTCGCCCAGCAGGAGCCGTCCAATTCCTGATCCTGCTCCCGGCTCCTCCGGCAGCACCCGCTCCCGGGCGTCCTCTCTGGGACTCACAGGAGCCCTGGTCGTGAGGGCTCTGTCCCTAAACCACAGTGTGACGCGGGGCCTCATTAGATCCCTGACTGACCCTCCTCTTAAGAATTCTTTTTAAAAATAACTGGACTGTTTTTTTCTTTTCTTTCCTTTTTTTTTTGAGTATTTTTCTTAAGAACATTTTTTTAACATTTATTTATTTACTTATATGTGGGAGTGGGGCTCACACACGCCACTGTGAATGTGGCGATCAGAACTCAGCCTGATATCATCACTTCTCTACTCCGGATCAAATTCAGATTGTTAGGTTTAGTGGCAAGCTCCTTTACTCTCTGTGCCCTATCTGTAGCTCCAAGCTCTCTCTCTCTGTCTCTGTCTCTCTCTCTCCCTCCCTTCTTTTTAATCGATCAAGACTACAAATGACCTTCCACAGACCTGTCTCCCCCTCATCCCCACCTTCTTCGCCTTCCATGCTGGAGACAGTTCCCTGGCTTCAACATAACACCCACACCCACGCACTCTCGGGACCACCCACGCACAGCTCGCCCTTTCCCGCACAGAGAAGAGAGGCCAAGACAAGGGTACCAGCTTTGGATTATCAAAATAGATTGGAATCCAGAATGCCTGTGCTGGCTGACAGCTGGGGACCTTATCTCCACAGGAAGAGAGAAGCAAGCCCCTGGCTGGGAGCAGAGGGTTAAGGAGGACTCCCTCTGGAGCTCTGGACACACCAGCCTGGCCCCTGACCAGGGCATTCCCTAGCAGTGATGACTTCCCAGGGGGCATCTGCTGCCTTACACACCACAGCCTCTTCCTGGAAGGGACTCAGAAACAGCACACAAAGGATGGGAGGGAGGGAGACTGTCTATGGTGACAGGGCTAAAGAAAGGCTTTGCGCCAGGCACGGTGGTATATGCTTGTAACCCCAGTACTCAGGAAGAGGAGGCAGGAGGATCCCGAGTTTGAGGTCAGCTGGACTACATACAAGTTCAGGGTAAGCCTGAACCAATCTACAGAAACCCCGTCTCAATAGCTACATAAACAAATAACTAAAGGCTGACAAAATGCCTCAGTAGGTAAAGGCATGTACTTCCAAGCCTGAGGACCTGAGTTCGATCCCCAGTGCCCCCATGATGGACAGAGAGACTTGACCCCTCCCTGCAAATGGTTATCTGATCTCCATACATGTGCTGTGATACATCATTCTCCACCCCTCCCCCTTCTCTTTCCCTTTGTCGCTCTCAAAATAAATTTTAAAAGTAAGAAATAAAAGGAGCCGGGCGGTGGTGGCGCATGCCTTTAATCCCAGCACTCGGGAGGCAGAGGCAGGCAGATCTCTGTGAGTTCGAGGCTGGGCTGGACCGACAGCCTCGAAAACAATACAGAGAAACCCTGTCTCGTAAAAACAAAACAAAACAAAAACAAACAAACAAACAACAACAAAAAAAAAGAAATAAAAGGGCCGGGGCTTAGCAGATAGCTTACTGCACAACCATAGGCCTAGAGTTCGGGTCTCCAGCGTCTGCATAAAAACCCAGGCATGACAGCACATACCTGTAATCCTAGAGATAGAAGTTGGAGACAGGAAGAGCCCTGGGGCTCCAGAGTATCCAACAGAAGTGGTGAGTACCAGGTACAGAGAGACCCTGGCACAAAAACTCATGTAGAGAAAAATAGAGGAAGACTTTCTGTTGTCCTCTGGCTTCTACATGCCCACACATGTACACACACGGGTGTGAACATACACTTACATACATGAATACACATGCATATACCGTCGCTGGCAATTTAGAGGAAACCTGGTCTCAAACTAAAAAGTAAAAAGAGGGCTGTGATGGTGGTTCAGCGATGGAGCAGCTGTTCTAGAATCCCCCAGTGAGGGGCTGTGGTGTGGCTCAGTGGTAGAGCACCTGCCTAGAATCCCCCAGTAAGGAGGCTGGGATTGTGGCTCAGTGGTAGAGCACCTGCCTAGAATCCCCCAGTGAGGGGCTTGGGGCATGGCTCAGTGGTAGAGCACCTGCCTAGAATCCCCCAGTGAGGGGCTTGGGGCATGGCTCAGTGGTAGAGCACCTGCCTAGAATCCCCCAGTGAGGGCCTGGGGCATGGCTCAGTGGTAGAGCACCTGCCTAGAATCCCCCAGTGAGGGGCTGGAGGTGTGACTCAGTGGTAGAGTACCTGAAAATTCCCCATGAGGGGCTGGGCTATGGCTCAGTGGTAGAGTCACTGCCTAGAATCCCCCAGTACAGGGTTAGGGGTATGACTCAGTGGTAAAACTCTTCTTTAGTATGAGGCCCTGTGCTCAGTCCCTAGCACATTGAAAAACAATAATTATGATCCATCTTGAAATGCCAAGCTGTCCGTGACAGCCTTGGAGCCACCACTCAGATATTTGGGAAGCTTTTGGGGTGATGATAGACTAATGTGATCCTCCAGGCACCCCCACATCCTTTAGTTCAAAGCTCTCTGCTCTTGCTCATCTTGAAGCTAGTGGCTTCCTTCCATCTGTCCTTGTCTCCCTCCAGTGACACATCCAGCCCTCTTGAGTTCTAAGGTCCATCGCCGCTCACACAGCTCCTCGGCCACACAAACGCATGGCATGTAAAACACAGTCTTTAGCTAAAGGAAAGGGTGTCACAAGTAGCCTGTGGGTGAGCTGGTGGGAGGAGGGAGCTTTATCTGATACAGACTGGAACATGATGAAGGTCATTTACAAAATCAAGTTGCTTTGGGCAATGCCTAACACAGGACCTTTCTGGTCTTTGTAACTGCCCAGTTAGGTTGACCACTGACGTCCTCCATGCACCCCTTACTCTCTGCTGCTTCTCCCTCCTCTGTGATCCCTTCTCTGATGGCGCCATCTCCAGGGTGTCTTCCTCCTTAACTTGCAACTGCATTTGAAGAAATTTATTTTGTGTGAACGTTTTGCCTACACAAGTGTCTGTGCGCCACGTGCATGCAGTGCCTGTGGAGGCCAGAAGAGGGCGTCGAATTCCCTGGAACTGGAGTTAGGGGTGGTCGTGAGCTAGCATGTGGGTGCTGGAGCTGAGTCCTGGTTCTCTGCAAGAGTAACAAGCGCTCTGAGCCATCTCTCCAGCCCTTCCACCTTAGTTTTTGGAGACAAGATCTCTCACTGAACCTGGAGCTCACTGGTAGAACTAGCTAGCTAGGCAGCAAACCCCTGGGACCCACGTGTTTCTGCCTCTCTGGTGCTCATCTTGCAGAGGTGCGCTGAGAATCCAAATGCAGTTCCTCACACGTTTGCCCCAGGCGTTTTACTCACCGAGCCATCATCTCCCCAGCCCTCATCTATCATTACTTTTTCGCCTTTATTTTTTGTGTTGCTCTGGCCTCAGTGTGCCGAACCCCAGATTTACTTAACACGTCTTACTCTTAAACCCATGTTCGTCACCTAGTTGATGGTTCATTGTGTCTGTGAGGTAGGGAGACGGGTATGGGGGGATGGGAGTGCCATCCCACCATAGAGGTGACCGACACAGGCATAGATGGTTGGCTATGAGGTGAAAGGGTGCATTGAGTCAGATGCAACGGCATGCACCTGGGAGGTGGAGGCAGGGGGATCAGGAGTTGCAGGTCAGCAAGTTGGAGGCCGGTGTAGGCTACGTGAAACCTATTCTCAAAGAAACTAAAAATGGAGAGGGAAATGGGGAAGATGGCTTAGTTGGTAAAGGGCTTGCTATGCAGGCATAAGGACCGGAGTTCAATCCCAGAGCCACGTGAAAAGCTGGGTGTAAGGATGTGCTCAAGTGAGCCCAGCGTTGAGGAGAAAGAGAGAGACAGGAGTGTGCTGGCCAGCCAGTCTAGCCTAATGGTGAGCGCCCAGTCAGTGAGAGAGTCAAGGTAGATAGAGACTGGGGAAGATACCAGGGCTGACCTGTGGCCTCCACACACACACACACACACACACACACACACACACACACACACACACACACACACACACACACACGGCATGAAGAACAACCAGTGAGAAGCAATCGTGTGTGTGTGTGTGTGTGTGTGTGTGTGTGTGTGTGAGCATGTGTGCTACAATGTGCCTGTAGAGGTCAGAGGATGACTTGCTGGATTTTATTCTATTTATCCACTATGTTAGTCCCAGGGATCAAACTCAGGTCATCAGGTTTGACGGCAAACACCCCTTTACCCGCTGAGCCATGTGACGACACTGCTTACTTAACTGTTTTGTTTTCCATTAGCCAGGGGCGGACCGGTCCAAGCAGCAGAGGAGTGAGCCAAAGTAGTGGTGGGACTCTGGGCAAAGGGTCTTTCTTCTCTGCTCATGCACCCGGTCACCGTGCCGCCTGGCCTTACACGGGCCTTCAACGGTAGTGAGAACAGGGAAGAATCAGGCCTGAATTCTCTCATCTCGTGCCTCGAAGTGCAGGGCAAACATTGATCCTATGTCTATTATGATAATTGCTAGCCCGGGTGCCAGACAGTATTGGGAGCACTTTCCATGTATTTATCTCATTTAATCATTGAGCATTCCGAACAAGCCTTTGACATGGGAGCCATCATTAAAATTCCTATCTCGCAGATAAAATGATGAGGTACAGGGAGGTCACACCACGTCTAAAATTAGACGTGTTGAGAAGATGACTAGATTTTGCTCACCCTGTGTTAGGAAGTAGCTTGTAAACACTGCCTCTGCAAGCCTGCTTTCTACGCTTTCTCAAACACTTTGCTATATTATATAACTATGAAACTCTCTCTCGCTCTCTCTCTCTCTCTCTCTCTCTCTCTGAGTATCTGGCAGCTGAGATGGCTCAGAGGGTAAAGGAACTTGCTATCAAGTCTGATGACCTGAGTTCAATCCCTGGTGCCCGACAGTGAAAAGAGAGACCTGACCCCTGCAAGTTGTCCTCCAAATGTATGCCATGGAACATGCATATTTACACACGTGAGCATGTGCGCGCGCACACACACACACACACACACACACACAGTAAGCTGTTGGGAGGCTCGGTGAACTTCTGGAGGAAGTGGGTTATTGTGGGGAATGTCTTTGATAGACTGACCTTGTCCTTTTCCCTTCCTGTCTCTCTGCTAGTTTCTGGCCGCAGTGATGCATGGCCTCTATCCCTACATGCTTCCTCTGCCGCAATGAATTAAACCTCCTATACCATGAACAAAACAGCCCGAGTTGTCTGTGTCACATACTTTGACCACGGGTCTGGAAAGGGAACAAGCACATGGTGCTCCCAACACCTAAGGGACCCGCCTTCCAACATTTCCAGGGAAACGTCCCCAAACAACACGTCATTGTACTATGCTTCCTGTCAAAAACCTTCTCCTGACTTCTGTAGGGTCATTTCTAGGCATGGCGACAGGATAATAATCTGACGGCAGTCTGGAGAGAAGATCATCACAAGAAACAATTGCTCAGGTCAGTCCGTTAGCCCAAGGGTGAGGGGTGGTCGCTTTCTAGGGGTGATACCACCTCTGTCCTGAAGCTAGTGTGAGCTCCTGGTGACCCCCAAAAGTTCTTAGGGTGGAGCACTTTCATTCTAGGTGCGCCTCCATTGTTCAATTTTGTAATTAGATTTTTAAAATTTTATTTTTTGTGCGAGTGTTTTGCTTGCCTGTTTGTACATGCACCATGTACATGCTTGAAACCCGCAGAGGTCAGAAAAGGACCTCAGATCCCCCTGGAACTGGCGTTAGGGATGGCTATGAACCACCATGTGGGTGCTAGGATTTGAACCTGGGTCCTCTGCAACAAGTACTTCCAATCACTGTGCCAGCTCCCCAACAACTTACTCTTAGTGTTTAAGCAGTAGGAGCTTCCAAATTTGGGGCCAGGGGCATATTTGTGTGGTAGAGAACTTACCTAACATGCCCCCAAACAGTAGTCTATAAATCATGGAAGGTCACGATTGGAGACCTAGGCATAAATGTGGGCACTGGGCTCTGTGGAGTCTGGCAGTTGGCGGGCAGCGTGGAGACAGCCAGGCGGAAGGGGATAAGTGAAGCTGAGCTCATGGGTTGCTGGCGGTGCATAGATGATGGCACAGTCACCTAATGCAGTGGGGCGTGTTTGCCATGCGCCAGGTACTGATCCTCACACTCTCATCCATTTACGTCTTTCTCGTGCTGGAGATGGAAACAGAACCTCCTGCATACTACACACACATGGGCTTCAAATAACTACACACACATGGGCTTCAAATAACCCTCAGGGCTTGGGGGGGGGGTTCCAAGCAAGCACTCTACAGCTGGTTCATGCCCCAGCCCTTCCCTGAGGGATTCTAGGCAAGTGCGCTACCTCTGAGCTAGCCTATGAGGTGGGCATCAGTACCTTCATTTTAAATATAAAGATATGGAAAGCCAGAGAAGTCAGAGTCTGCCCAAGTCATACAGCTGGGATCCAGCAGCCAGGATGGTATCCTTGGACTTAGGGATTTTGACAGATGTAATGGAGTGTCTATCTCTATCTCCTAGGCATGTAAAAACTGGCTCAGATTCCGGGTTCATATGTGACCAGACAGTGGCAAGCCCTTCCTCACCGGTATATCCTGGTAAATCCTTAAGCGGTATGCGTCAGACCTAAGCAGGCAAGCTCAGATTCAGCACCACGGACAGCATGAGTTTAGTTTGGAGCACCAACGCGTAGTGGAAGGAGAAAAGTAACTCCCAGAATTGTCCTCTGACCTCCACAAGCACACTCGGGCACTCATGCACACTCACATTCACATACACATGCACACACACTTGTGTAAGCATGTGAGCACACACACTAAGTAAATAAACGCTAGAACAAGAGCAAAATGTCTCTTCCCTAGCAACCATAGTGGCTCACAGAGCCTTGGAGACCTTATTTCTCTGTGTTACAGCTCTGGCTGTCCTGGAACTCACTCTGTAGACCAGGCTGGTTTTTAACTCAAAGATCCACTTGCCTCTGGTCTTGAACTCTATATGTAGTATGACAGTTCTCCTGTTTCAGAATCTAGAATCACTGGTCAAGTTTTTGCCAGACAGAAGTGTACAGAGGTTTGGGAACTCAGGAAGGTACCTGCTCCTAAGCGGTCCCACTGCCGAGAGAAAGAGCACGAGCCTTTCCTGCAGCCTCCTGCACAACCTCAGTGCTGGGTCGGGAAAGGACCATTAGCAAGGGGGTTACCCTCTGCATGCATCCTGTAGAATTTGCTGAGTACACTCTGTGGCGTGGGGCTACCCTTTGCCCTCTCCCTAATTCAACCTGCACCATTTTCTACACATTTTTCCTTCCCATCCTGGGGCTTGAATTTAGGGCCTTCAGCATGCTAGGTAAGTGCTCTAATGCCTGGCCACAACCCCGCTCTGGTGGGTTCAAGCCAAACATTCTACCACCAAATAACTTCAGCCCCTCACTGGGGGATTCTAGGCAGGTGCTCTATGACTGAGTCATACTCCAGCCCCTCACTGGGGGATTCTAGACAGGTGCTCTCCCACTGAGCCACACCCCAGCCCCTCACTGGGGGATTCTAGGCAGGTGCTCTATGGCTGAGTCATACTCCAGCCCCTCACTGGGGGATTCTAGACAGGTGCTCTCCCACTGAGCCACACCCCAGCCCCTCACTGGGGGATTCTAGGCAGGTGCTCTATGGCTGAGTCATACTCCAGCCCCTCACTGGGGGGATTCTAGGCAGGTGCTTAACAGTTGAACCAGCCCCCTGCCCATTGGCATTTGGGTTTCTACAATCTAGGGCACATCACATGCTTCTTCTGGAGTTCATTTTATAGGTGGGAATAAGTAACCCACAGATTAGCTTGTAGCTTGCTTGTGGTAAAACAAGTCAGTGGTAATGTTGGAGTCTGAACATCTCTGAAGCTTGTAGCTATCTATGATCCTTGATTTGAGATCTGGGCCTTCCTGCTGCTGACCCATATACAGGACCCAGGTGGCCAACAAATGGCCCTCAGGGGCTTCAGGAGTCCATTCCTGAACTCTGGGCTATGCCAGAACTTCCAATGGGCAGAGTCCTTGATCTCTCCGTCACTCACCCCAGCCCCTAATAGTATATCTGGAACCCCCCATTACAGCATGAGATGCCCTCTCCCTCCCTGTCACCCAGGCGAATACTCACATGTGGGCCCCAGGCCGGTCCTCCCTGGCCACTACTCCCTCCTTCTCCATCAGCATCTGCCGGAAGGTCCCGACCTTCTGCTGGATCTCCTCCTCTGAGTACCTGTGGGGCACAGAGACCATGAGGGCTTGCTGCTGATTTTAGGTCACCACCTCAGCTCACCCCCACCTGCTCCCAGTCCTTGGCCACAGTGCATGCTCTCATTGGTAACTGCTTCTTTTGTAGGAGTTTTGTTATTCTCTCTCAATGTGTCCTCTCCCTGCCCTTCTCCTCTCCCCTCCCCATCTTCTGCTTTCTTTCAGCCCCTCCTCTCTTCCCTCCATTCTTCCCTTCTTCCTTCCCCTTTTCTCCTTCATTCCTTCCTTCCTCCTTCCTCCTTCCCCTTTTCTCCTTCCTTCCTTCCCCCCTTTTCTCCTTCCTTCCTTCCTTCCTTCCTTCCTTTCCCCCCCTCTCCTACCCACACACTTGTTCTCCATTCCTCTCCTTTCCTCTCTCTGCATTTTGTATTTTTCTTTTCCCTATCACCTTTCCTAATACTGTTTATTCGGCTCACCTAACATTTAAGAGTTGGCATTACTATTACAGGTCCCCTCCAACTGGAGTTACAGATGGTTGTGAGCCACCATGTGGGTGCTGAGAATCAAACCAGATCCTCTGGAAGAGCAGCTCTCCAGCTCTCTCTCTCTCTCTCTCTCTCTCTCTCTCTCTCTCTCTCTCTCTCATCTATCTATCTATCTATCTATCTATCTATCTATCTATCTAGATAATAGAGTCTTGCTATGTAGTTCAGACTAGCTTGCAACTCACTTGTAATCCAAGCTGCTCTCTACCCTGTAATGCTCCTGCATTTCAGAGTTGGAATCACAGGCTGCCCCCGATGACTGATGCAGCACTAACAAAATGTCTGTTAATGAATGAATCTTGGGTCATGACCTCCAGGGTTTGCATTCTTCACAATGGAAGACACGGTGACAGAATATAGGCAGGGGAGGAGAGGAGAGGGTCTCATCTTGCTTTGTCTTCTGCTCGGGATCCACGGCCTCTTCCCAGAGCAGGCACAACCCTCACCACTCAGTCTGTTCTTGGAAATGGCATGCTTTTCCCTCTCTTCTTTCTTGTTTATCTTTTCCTCAACAAACATTTTACAGAAGGCTAATTTGGCTTTCAAAAGCTTATTTTTTTTTTTTTTTGGTTTTTCGAGACAGGGTTTCTCTGTATTGTTTTGGAGGCTGTCCTGGAACTCACTCTGTAGACCAGGCTGGCCTCGAACTCACAGAGATCCGCCTGCCTGTGCCTCCCGAGTGCTGGGATTAAAGGCATGCGCCACCAATGCCCGGCTTCAAAAGCTTATTTTTTTAAGCAAAACCCAAACATGTCCTTTATTTACATTTATTTATTGTTTTTTAATTAATTTATTTATTATGTATACAGTGTTCTATATGCATGTATCCCTGCAGGCCAGAAGAGGACACAAGATCTCATTACAGATGTTTGTGAGCCATCATGTGATTGCTGGGAATTGAACTCAGGACCTCTGGAAGATCAGCCAGTGTCCTTAGCTGCTGAGCCATCTCTCCAGCCCTATTTATTGTTTTTTCAAGACAGGGTTTCTCTGTGTAGACCTGGATGTCCTGGAACTTACTTTGTAGTCCAGGCTGGCCTTGAACTCAAAGAGATACACCTGCTTCTGCCTCCCGAGTATTGGAATTAAAGGCATCACCACTTGGCACTTTAATTTTTTCTTTTTAAAAGTGTGTGTGTGAGCCGGGCGTTGGTGGCGCATGCCTTTAATCCCAGCACTCGGGAGGCAGAGGCAGGCGGATCTCTGAGTTCCAGGCCAGCCTGGCCTACAGAGTGAGTTCCAGGACAGCCTCCAAAGCCACAGAGAAACCTTGTCTCGAAAAAACCAAAAAAAATAAAAAATAAAAAAATAAAAGTGTGTGTGTGATCTGAGCAGCGGTGGTGCACACCTTTAATCCCAGCACTTGGAAGGCAGAGGCAGGTAGCTCTCTGTGAGTTCACAGCCAGCCTTGTCTACAGAACAAGTTCCAGGACAGCCAAAGCTACACAGAGAAACCCTGTCTTGAAAAAACTGTGTGTGCATGTGTGTGTGTGTGAGCTTGCATGCATGTGTGTGCATTTGTGAATGTGAGTGTATTTGTTCAGGCATGTGTGTGCATGAGTGCAAGTGTGTGTCTGGGTATATGCCCGTGTGTGAGATTCTGTGTGTGTGTGTGTGTGTGTGTGTGTGTGTGTGTGTGTGCGCGCGCGCGCGCGCGCATGTGAGTGCTTTTGTGAGTTTGTATGTATGACTGAGGACAGGAGTGACTTCCCAGGCCAGCATTATCCATCCCAGTGACTGGTTCAAGGGGGAAAGCTCAGCTTGCAGTGTTAAAGGTCATGATGACTTAGCAGAAGCTGCAGGAAGCCTGGATACTTAGAAGGACGCTTGTGTTTTCTTGCCTGGCTTGGCATCTCTATCCATTTTATAGATTGTGGAAACCGAGGCCTTGAGCTGTCATATACGTTTATATATGCTTCACGACACTGGATATATCTAGGGCATGGAGAACGTGTCTCTGTGGCTTCTGCGAGCTGGAGCTTAGTCTAGATCTTCAGAGACAGTTTCTGAGTTGTCTGAACCAACAGATAAATGAAGGTGGCCTGGGCTTGTGGCTCCACTTAGCTGGTCCAGACCCTGCTTCCTTGCTGGATGAGATTGTTGGCTCCCAGTGCTCTTTAGATTCAGCCCTGGGCTCCAACTGAGGTACCCAGGTCTCCCTGAACACTCCCACCCTGTTCCAACCCTGCATTTGTTCTGCCAGACCTTTTCTGGTCCCGCCCACACCAGCACTGCAGACTAAGGTCGACCTTCAGTCTCATCAGACAAGGGACCTGCCACAAGCCCGATCAGGCCCTGGCCACATCCCAATCACTCACCATGCAAGGCCAAGCTCCCTGCCTACTACTGGTCTCGGCCATGCCCTATCCTGCTGCACTAATATCCTGGGCACAGCTCCACCACATCCAGGTCAGGTTGCCTCGATTAGAGCAGCCAAGCCCCTTGTGGGTGTACCGAGCTCTGGAGTGCAGCTCTGCCACACCAAGTCCCTGGACACAACTCTACCACTGCCAAGTTCACGGCCACACCCCTATCCTGGTCCCATCACATCACACTCTAGACACAGCCCCTTGCAGTCGGCACACCAACCTTCCTTGTCCTAGCCCCGCCCCACCACGCCCCAACCCCGCCCCCTGACAGCTCCCAGCTTCAAGTCTTGAACGTAGTCTGACCTCGCCCCACATCATCTCCCCCTGACCCCGCCCCTCTCGCCCCTCCCCACTCACCCCTGCTCCTCCATCATCTCTTGTAGCTCCATGCACTTGAGCTCCACGCGCCGCTTGCGTTCGTGGTCCAGGATCTCCCGGTGTGCGCGCTTCACCAAGCCGGGCTCGGCGGCGCGCAGCTCCTCCTCCGCGCGCGGCCAGGTCCCGGACGAGGCGCCGGGCTGCGGGAAGCCGTTGGCGGCGTCGGGCGGGGATGGCATGCCGGCAGCCCCGTTGTTCACGGTGGAGGACATGACAGCTGTCCTCCGCGGCGGGCCCTGCGGGACAAACAAAACACAAGGCGGGGTGGTCACCTCTCGGCCATCCGCTAAGCTTTCACTATATGGCTTAATCCTGGAGGTTTAGGGCCCACTCGCGGCTCTAATCCGCTTGCTCTTAGGCTGTAGAGGGAGAGAGCGGGCGACAGGTTGGCACCATCACTTCAGGACATGAATGTATCTCACGCTAGTCTTTCCCCATTTGTAAAGTGTGTGGGCATCTTTGTGTTTTTTTTCATTTTTTTTTCCCCTTAGCCCAGCCTGCTCTCCAACTCTCTGTGTAGTCAAGTATTACCTTAAACTTCTGGTCCTCCTGGCTCAGTCTCCTAAGTGACTTGCGCCACCACACTCGGCTTATGTGGTCCTGGGCATGGAACCCCGGACATTGTGCATGCTGAGCAAGCTGTCTACACACTGGGTCCCAGTCCCTCCAGTCCCAGGTGACTTTAAAGAAAATCTTACATGGTTCCAGAGACGTGGCTTGGAGGGTAAAGGCACTTGCTGCCTAGATGATGGCCTGAGTTCAACGCTCAGAACACGCATGACAGGAGGAGAGAGCCGATTCCTGCAAATTGTTCTCTGACCTCCATACGAAACCCAATAAATAAATGAATACAACATTCCTTCCTTCCTTCCCTCCCTCCCTCCTCCCTTCCCTACCCCCTCCCTTTCTTCTCTCTCTCTCTATAGCCCTGGCTGTCCTGGAATCCCTCTGTGGATGAGGCTGGCCTAGAACTCAGTGATCTGTCTGCCTTTGCCTACCAAGTGCTGGGACTAAGGGCCTGCGCCACCACACCTAGCCTTTGAATATGAATACAAGATTTCAAAAAGAAATCTTATTTTCTGGTGCTGAGGATCAAACCCAGGACTTCAGGAATGACAGGCAAGCAGTCTGCCATTGAGTCACAGCTTCATTCTTTAAAAAAAATATATATATATATACATATATATATATATATATATATATATTGCCGGACAGGACTTAGTGGTGCCTGCCCACCTTTAATCCCAGCACTGTGGGAGCAGATGCAGGTGTTTCTGAGCTTGAGGCAGGGCTGATCTACAGATGGAGTTCCAGGACAGCCAGGACTACACAGAGAAATCCTGCCTCGGAAAAAAAATTGTGTGAAAAAAAAGATATTAAGACGTATCCATTTTCTTTCGTGTGTGAGAGTTTTGCTTGCATGCATGTATGTGCACTACATATGTTGCTTGGTGTTTGAGGTCAGAGAGGACATTGGATCCCCTGGAACTGGGTTTATGTGTAGTTGTGAACCACCATATGGGGGCTGGCACTGAAACCCAGGACTTGGGGCCTGCTAGGGAAGTGCTTAATGTCTAAGCAGCATCTCCAGCCACCAGGCTCGTCGCCCAGGGTGCTGTTCTGGCTTTGTTCAGGGTGCTCCTGGCTTGCGTTCTGCATCCACAGCAACCCTGCAGAAATGTGGGTGTCTCCAGGTTCCATTCCCTTCCTGCTCCGGGTGCAGTTTTCAGTCTCCGCTGCGCCTGGCTAACTTTTCCAAAGCTAACATTGCAGGGGGTAGTCTCAATACGATGACCTCTTCTTTGTTCTGGAAATGCTGCCCCCAAGGACTGCCCAAGGTGACATGGAAAATTAGCTTTCCAGGCAGCCGTGTCCTCTAGTGTGCTCAGAATGGAATGGGAGACAGCATGGTTTGGAGGAATAAGCCTTGACACTGTGCTAGGCCAAAAGTAGAACACACACACACACACACACACGCACACACACTCACACACACACACACACACACACACACACACACACGACCTCTATATGAACAGTGGGAACCGCCTCCTAAGCTATTTCCGGGTCCTTTCTCCAAGACTCTGCTTGTTGCTAAGCAACTGAAGGCCTCATTCTCAGGGTGTGGGATGGGAAGGATACAGGGAAGGGTTGGGCATGTAGAGTTAGGAACCATCTCAGCAACGCTCTTTCCTTTAACCCCCACCCTGGGGATGGAATTTAGGGCTTTGCACATGCCAGGCAAGCACTGTATCAACTGAGCTACAGCCTCAGCCCCAATTAACTTCTTTAAAAATGGCCTGGCCATGCCGGGCAGTGGTGGTGCATGCCTTTAATCCCAGCACTTGGGAGGCAGAGGCAGGTGGATCTCTGTGAGTTCGAGACCAGTCTGGTCTACAAGAGCTAGTTCCAGGACAGCCTCCAAAGCCACAGAGAAATACCCCTTCCACACACAAAAAAATGACCTGACCAATTGGCCCAAACAGATTGCTCAGCACTTAAGAGCACTTGCTGCTCTTGCAGAGGACCTGGGTTCAATTCCCAGCATCCGTAGTGGACTGTTCATAACAGTTTGTTAGTATGGAGGACCCAACACCCCTTTCTGGCCTCTGAGCACACCACACACACAGTGCTCAAATGGACAAGCAGACATACATAAATAAGTTTTTAAAAAATTCTTATTTGGGGGCTTATTTGGTGCTCAGAGGTTAGGAGCACTGGCTGTTCTTCCAGAGGACCTGGGTTCAATTCCTAGCACCCACATGTCTGTAAATTCATTATATGAGATTTGGCTCCCTCACATGAACATTCTTTCAGGCAAAACACCAATGCACATAAAATAATAATAAATAAGTTACTTAGAAATTCATATTTAGCTGTGGGTGGTGTCACACACCTTTAATACCAGTACCTGGGAGGCAGAGCCAGGCGGATCTCTGTGAGCTGGAAGCTGCCTGGTCTACATAATAAGTTCCAGGCCAGCTAAAGTTATATAGTGGGATCCTGTCTCCAGGAAACACATGAATGAAGATTGACTTTTCTACTCTTGTTGAGAGCCACAGAAGTGGGAAGGCAGAAGGAAGGGCCGTCTGGAGAAACTCACAAGGGGACAGAGTGACAGTGGTAAGAGAGACTTAAGCCCCTCTCCATGTCCTTGTGAATTCCAGCCAACAGGGTTCTAGGTCAGCCTCCTCTGTTCTTTGCTGTGTGACCTTGAGGGTAGTAGTGCCCATCCCTGAGCCTCTGATTCTCAGCTACGGATAGGAGCACCATCCAAATTCCACAGGCGAGGAGAGTTCCTAGGATCTTAGAGAAGGAGTCTGCTCCAAATGGTTAGAGCTTGACATAATCTCGAGTCATCTGGGAAAGGAGTCTCAGTGAGGGACTGTCCAGTGTAAGCTGGCCGTAGGCATGCCTAATGAGAGCTATCTTGATTACATTCATTCAAGTGGGAAGATCTGTCCACTGTGGGTGGCGTCACTCCGTAGGCTGTGAATGTGAGCTGAACTCTGGCATGCGTACATGAATCCATTGCTCTCTGCTCTTGGCTGCGAATGTGATGTGACTAGTTGATTCAAGTCCCTAACCCTGGACTTTGCTGCAGTCATGGGTGGCAACACTGCATTGCGGGCTTTCCCTCTTAGATTGCTTTCTTCAGAGGAAATGAATTTTTTTGACAGGGTCTCCTTATGTAGCTCTGGCCAGGACTTTGATATGTAGACCAGGCTGGCCTCAAATGTACAGAGATCTGCCTGCCTGTGGCTCTGAGTGCTGGAATTAAAGGTGTGTGCCACAATTTCTGATTCTTGTCAGAGTATTTAACACAGCAACAAGACATTAAGACACTGTCCAAACCCATCTCTCTTCATCTCCAACCTTGCCAATTGCCCACCCCTGCCCATTGAACAGCCCTGAACCTCAACCCCAGTTCTACTCAGGCACACACACACACACACACACACACACACACACACACACAAATACAATACAAAATTTGATCCTTCAGCACTCGGGAGCAGAGGCAGGCGGATCTCTGTGAGTTCGAGATCAGTCTGGTCTATAAGTGCTAGTTCCAGGACAGCCTCCTAAGCCACAGAGAAACCCTGCCTCGAACCCCACTCCCCCCAAAAAATTGGTCCCTCACCTCTCTCTTCACTATGGTTTCCATTCATCCACTCATTATCTTCCCCTGACACCATCTTCATCCTCTGTCTCATACCCTGTCTGGCCTCCTTGCCCCCAGACCTCTGTCTTCATGAACACCCTGGAAGATCAGCCCAAGGCCACAGAGTCTGAGTCACGTATTGACTCAGACTCCAGATAGCCTGCTATCTTGTCTTATCATGGTGACACAGCCCTGCCTCGGGGTCTAGCCACATACATCGTGCCTCCCTCTTATCTCCAGGCCTGCCAACGTGTAGCTCAATCTCCCATCATGCTCTTTGTTTTTGAGATGGTGTCTCACTCCATAGTCCACACTGATCTTGAACTACCATGTAGCCCAGGTTGGCCACCAGTTCACCTTCCTCCTCCCTCAGCCTCCCAGGCTTTAGCCATCGTGCCTGGTTCCCAGGATGCCCTCCTCCAGCTTCCTAGTCAACACTCACAGGCAACACTAACTTTCAGAAGCTTTTCCTTGCCCGGCTGGCTGGTGCCACCCTCCCCAATCTCTTGTCACTTGCTGCTGTCACTGTAGATTTACAAGCCTAGAGTAGCCTTGGAGCTTGAATCCCTACTGTCAATCAAGTGGCTGCATAAGCAGAGCTCAATGAGCAGGACTGGGAGAATCAAAGACCGTTACAAAAGGCGGATGGGATAGGGCACACGGCACAGTCAGCCCTGCTGTCTCCACACCCCCCCTCGTTCTGCCTTCTTTTCCTTAAATTACTGTGCTGGGAATGGGAGCCAGGGTCTTCCCCTGACTCTCTACAGCTGAGCCACACCCCAACCCCTCACTGGGGGATTCTAGGCAGGTGCTCTGCCACTGAGCCACACCCCCAGCCCCTCACTGGGGATTCTAGGCAGGTACTCTACTGCAGAGTCACACACCCCCAGACACTCACAGGCATATTGCAGGAAAGTACTCTACCACTGAGCAACACTGCTATCTTTTTTTTTTTTTTTTTGGTTTTTCGAGACAGGGTTTCTCTGTGGCTTTGGAGGCTGTCCTGGAACTAGCTCTTGTAGACCAGGCTGGCCTCGAACTCACAGAGATCCACCTGCCTCTGCCTCCCAA